TGATGATCTGGCTGAGGGGGTTCAGGCCTATGCAGAACAGCAGCGGGGGCAGCAGCAAGTAACCCAGTGAGAGGGGTTATATACGGAGGGTGTGGGACCTATGTATATACATATATATATATAAAATTGGTATCGAAAAAAGTATTAGTATTAGTAGTTTAGGCATCAAAGTCAAGTTATCGGTATTGGTACCTGTATCGAACACTTTGGGGCAATACCCAGCCCTATTTGTAAGGTAGGTAATTTTTTTCAGTGGGGCTAAGTAGTAGTTATTGGTTAGATTATTGGACTATACAGTCATTTGGTTGTTTTTATCATTTACTGAATTATAGGGCCTGTAATTTAGGTTTGACAATAACATATCAACATCCAATAAAGCATATTAGAGACACAAAGCTTATTTGAAATTAAACTTTTGAATTTGAGCAAGAGAAGTGCAAATGAGAGGTGAGATTGTATGAGAGCACTTAATGTGTCTCCTTGGAAAAATAGGCTTAATAACACAGTGTGGTCGGATGCAGCATTATAAACTACTGTTGTTTGAAAGTGTTCATAATTTGAGGGGCGATAATGAGTCAAATGTGTCTTTATGTGTGTGATAAAACCCAGTTTCAGATTGATCAGACGTCCTGTAATGTGAGCCCAGCCACACATATGAGGCCTTTTGTTGCTAGGAACTGTTTGAGGTTGTTACATGTTCCCAAGAAATACAAGCAGCTGGAATTCTACTCTGAAAACCGAAATGAAAATGAGTCATTTATGTAAATAAAGCCCTGGAGTTTTTAATCTGATGGCTCACAGTCTCTGTTTATCAAAATTCAAAGGTTAAATGCAGATCTGTGATGGGAAGCAAACTTCAGCCACTCATCCATCACTCCACCTTCAGAGCTGTAAAGCCAAAATTATACTTCTCTGGACTGAACAATAGGTGATTGTGCGCAGGGTCTGCTCAGATGCATTTCTATGGCAGTTTCTTTTATACTTGTACATTAAATTTATGTTTGTTTTCATGTCCATTTCTAAGTCTGATCTGAACCAACCAGTCAGTTTGGCTGACACAGAGGTCCACACAACAAAATATTGAGGTTTGGGAAGTGTGCCTGAGTTTCTCTGCAAGCTCCTGCAACCTAAGGTTGTCCATAACACCCTGACTAGCACAGGTCTGTGGTGACATTTACTTCTATATTTGGAAAAGTCCCACTGTTAGTCTACATAGAAGGTGTTCCAACTGTGCTTTTCAGTCATCTGCTTCGTGGGTATGACAGAAAAAAAAACCTTCATATTAATCAATACAACAGTTCACATGGGCTGCATAAGTGCTTTCACCTCAGCTCTACATAGTGATCTAAATAACATTTTTACTATTCAAGCCTATTTTCTTATATTTTAAATGCCTACTGTGCCTAAAATGCCCAACTACTGTGATTGTATCTTGTGATCTGAATGCTAACCTCAGTATTGAGCCCCTAAATGCATCATGTATACAGACAAAGGACTGAAGCTGCTGCTCTACTAATGTGGAAACACTGGCACTAGGTGTAAATCATGATTTGCAGAATCTTCCAATATAAATGTAAACTATAGGCATTCAGTTAAACAGTGATACCGTATACACTTTTGGCCTAAACATTTAGGCAAAGCCGGTGTTTATTATAATGATGTTAAATATAGTCTTTTCCTCAAATTTATCAGTGTCGATTTCTTTCTTTCTTTTATCTGCTCAGTCACGTTTTTGTAAATAGTTTGCTTCAGACATGCAGATCTGTAGTCCAGAGCTTTGCCCCATAAAGATGGCTGATTTCTGCAATTCCCAGATGGCTGGGTTTTGATGGGGTTTGTTGCTGGCTTCTTTTTCTCTTCAGTGTTTCTTTTTGTCTCCCATAAGCTTTTGTGCTAACCTGTTGCTCCAGCCACTGGACCACCCTCCCATGCAATTCTGCCTGTTTCTGCAGTGCCACGAGGGTCTCTTTGAGTGGCTTTACTTGCCTCTGGGTCGCCATAACAAGCCACCCTGCCTGTTTCTTTGGGCCCTCTCTTGCCCTGATGAGCAATTCTCTTCAATACTTGTATGCATGCAGACTGTTTATTTGGGAACCTTTGACGGACTGCTGTTTCCTGCGGTAAACCGTACTCATTTCCTGTTTTCTGTATTTGCACTGCGTTGTGCTTGCTTCCAGATTGTTTAGGAATTAAACTCACTATTTTCTAGGTTCATCTGAATTTTTGAGTGACAACATACGCTTGCACCACTTAAAGCACTTGTTTTGCAGAAGTTCTTGCTAACTACCAAATTTAACTTGCTACTTTAGGTCGGCTAGTTTAGAAGCTAGCTAAGCTAGTAGCTTAATCGAGAGCAATGGCTTCCCCCTCTTCCTCTCCTCCTTTCTCTTGCTCGGAGTGTCGCATGTTCAGTTATTCCTCTGCCTCCTTTAGCGATAATGGTACTTGTAATAAATGTCAGATGCTAGCAGCATTGGAGGCGAGGCTCACAGACTTAGAAGCGCGGCTCCACACCATGGAGAATAGGCCAGCTAGCTATGCCCACGTAGCCGGTGTGGAGCCTCCTAGACGTAACCGGCGGCCATAGTCAAATGTTTTCCTGGGGCCAGAGCGGGCGACATTGAATCCTATTTGAAGCTGCTGACTAAGGATAAGCATAAATGCAGTAAGGTTGTTATTCACGTCGGCGCTAATGACTCCCGACTTCGCCAGTCGGAGGTCAGTAAGATTAGTGTTGAGTCGGACTCCGTAGTTTTCTCTGGTCCCCTACCCAATGTGACCAGTGATGACATGTTTAGCCGCATGTCGTCATTCAACCGCTGGCTGTCTAGGTGGTGCCCAGAAAATAACGTGGGAATGGTTGTGTAGAACAAATCCAAATGTTTTTGCGGCGAAACCATTCAGACAGTTTTGCAAGGGAGAGAAGTTTCCTTTATGGAAGAAGCACAGCAAACCAGCGCATAGAGGGATGGTGGGGTACCCTTCGCAAACAGAGTGCACAGTTCTGGATGAACTTATTTCAAACTTTCCAGGATGATGGTCACTTCACAGGAGACTTTTTGGACAAAAGTCTTATTCAGTTTTGTTTCTTTAATCTTGTTCAGGTAAAAAAAACGTTCCTGCCTTTCTCAAGACAGGTTCATATAGCACACCAGATGTTATGTCATGTGTTGTAATACTGGCTAAATGATCATAGAAAAATGTGCTCAACCCAATTTGTATTATTGGCTGGATCCTCAAAAGAAATCTGTGGAGCAATGAAAAATATGATCCCCTTGTCATACCAACTTAATGCCTGTTGATGCCCCTACTAGAGGCTGTACTTCTTCACCCAGCCACAGTAGTTGCTATACCATACCATACCATACCAACTTTATTTATAAAGCACTGAAACAACCGAGACGGACCAAAGTGCTGTACAGTGTGATTAACAATATACATTAAAAATAAACACAAATTACAAGGACAGATAAAATCAACACCAATATCAGACATCAGTCCATACAGATAAAATCAACACAAAAATAAGATATCAATCAATACAGATAAGATTGCACCAATAAATTGTATCAAAACGCCATGTAGGTTGTACTAAAAAAGCTGTAAAGTGTTAAGCGTGCATTGTTGCATCTTGCTGCTTGTGCTGTTTAGTGGAATTGTTATAGTGTTAGTGCTGCTTAATTTTACATTGATTATAGGTGATGTAACAAAAATGATCGCTGTGTCTGTCCACTATTCACTTAGCTGATGGGGCCATAGAATAACAAAGCAGCAAGTGAAGCATCAGTTTAGACAGGTAGCAATTACATGGTATAAGACCTGTTTTACACATTTGCACTGTGTATTTACTGTGCTTCTTTCTATGCAGGATGAACTTGATGAAGTTGTCAACACATGGAATTCACATAAAATCAGAAAAAGATCAAATGGTGACATGGCATCGGGTCGGCCAGTTGTGATGTACTCATTTCCAGAGCTGCACAGTGCTGAGGATAGACTCAAACCTGTTTCCATGGAGGAGGTCACTTTGTGTATGGAAGAGTGTACCCCAAAGGCCAGTTTCCTTGTGATGACACTGTTTTTGAACTGTGTTGTCTACTGATGGAGGAAAATGGATGGGATGTTCCAGCAGATCCATTTGCTGCAGCTGATCTGTACATCTTGTTAAGAGAGGAAATACTGCAAACTCTTTGATAAATGGTACAAATCCAATTTCTTCTAAATACAAAGGAAAATATGTAGTTTACCCCAGTCATATAATTTGATTAAACTACTGAACTAATGGTTTATGTGGTATATTTTTTTAAATCTGTGGTCTATTTTTCCTCACAGGTATTGACTCTCCTGTTGTTTTTCCTCACCCTTCTAACCATGTTTTGGATCACAGAAGACATCCAGACAGCGACTCCAGGTTAATCCTCTGTGACTTAAGGCCAATGTCCAAACCCATGATGAAGACATTTGGGATGCCTTGTACTCTTTGTGCTTTTCTTGTCCCAACCAAACAATGAAGCACTGCTGCCACTTGGTTGTAATTTTTCAACAGTTGTACACTTGTGATACTTCAAAGGACAACAAGGCATTTAAGGACATTAAGGAGATCGAGATAAGTGCATATAAACAAATCTTCACAGAACAGTGTTCTGCTGTGGTGGCCACAGTAGTGGAATCTATAGTTTATTCATCAGTGTAGTTATTCATGAGTATTAAAATGTAACAACCATTTTGAGACATTGGTAATGTCAAAGCCTGCCCATGGCATGCACTGCAGTGTGCATTTCACTCATGTACTGATAAACTTTTTTCAGTTGTTTTTTTATGCCAGTTGACTTTCTCACATTTGTGTCCAATATGAATGACTATTAAATGCTTTATATTTTTGAACAACTGCATTTTATAGCTTGTTTACCCATATAGATAGGAAGCTGGGTCAACAATAGATCAACATTCAACCTGAAGACCTGAATACAAATGTGGTGGATGAAGTAACATTTTATTAACATTAAACATGGCATAGAATAAAGCCAAATATTAATGAACATCAAATTTGATGGATAATAAGACATGTTAACATGACAATGACATTTGAGAAAACATAACAGCTTCAGCATTTTCTAAAAACACTTTGACACACTAAATACACTTTATGTTTAGTTTAAATAACTGTGAAGTGGTATCTTAGCAGTCACCATTAACTATCCAAACTTTATAAAGACCTGAACTTGGATTAAACCCAGCAATGGCATATAGTGTAAAACAACATTTTGCACATGTAACTAATGCAAAAGTAATAGGCAAAATTGTACAGATTACTCGGCAATTAATACAATGTTTGAAAACTGCTTGCATTACTTTCAGATTATGCCAGTATCCAGTTCTACTTAGTTTTGACCTTAGTAGAAAATATACTGTGAATTAATGTGTCTGACTTAATAAACAAAGCACTAGATTTTGGCAAACATGAGATTCCAGTTAATGCACAGATGTGGGGTCTGCCGCAATTTCATGCAATTCAGTGGTGGCTTACACAGTATTTCACCTGGGTGTTGCATCATTTTGCAACTTACAAAGAAAAAAAAAGGTACAATTGTTTCATTACGGTCTATAGTTGTCTGCACATAGCTGTTGAAATCTAAGCATAAAATACTCTTTTAAGAGGTAAGGACTGTGGGAAGCTAAACAATGTCCATTATCCAGACATTGCTTTCAAGAACTGCATTAAATTCTGAACGGAAATCTGGGAAGTTATCATAGCTTTCAGCTATTTGCAGAATCTTCCCACACGTGTGCCCAATTGGTCTTCTTTCAAACTCTGGCATTTCTTTAAATTCCACATAGATGCTGTCTGTAACTATGAGATCAGATCCGGTGCAAAACCGCAGAAATTTCTGAAGTTTAATTTCATCTAGCTCTCTGATGAATCTTTTCAGATGAATTCCCACTTCCTTTTGTTTTGGAGTCAAATCATCAGCAAATTTCAACAGCTGACAGATCTTTTTTGAGGTTGGTTGCAGGTCAGAAAATAGCTTGATCAGTGCCTCTGGACTGAGGGAGAAACGACGATGGGTGATCTCCCTCCAGCAGTCAATGACGAACATCGGCTTTTGGACTAGCTCTTTGTGCGCAATTTCATCAAGTATTGTAGGAAGTGTCTGGGCGGTTATCATTTTTCTACAGCCATAGCTGTCAAGAACTTCCACAAGATCATCAGAGTCAACTGTGGAGAAATCATCCATCGCTTGCATCAAAACCTCCCGTTCTTGGCTGTTCACAAAATGCAGAAAATGTGCTTTAATATCACTGTACACACTGTTGAAAAGCACCTGTTCAAGGAAGGGGAGTGCAAGTTTGTTTGGCAAATATTGACAATCCTGGTAACCTTTCACAATGATTCTCCCAATTGCTTTCCATGTTTCAGCATGAAAATCATGGCGAATGAAGGGTACTTTAACTGTGGTACCAAGTGTACATCTCTCATAGAATTCATGCCAGAAGCAGCTGAGAACATCTCTTAGTACCCCAGATCCAATGCCTGCTTCTTCTGTATTATCTGGAAGTATGCGTTTCACATTCAGTGCTTTGTTCAAAATCTCTGCATCAGAAAAAGCATTAATCATGTCATGTAAAGTGTTAGTATGATGTACAGTGATTGGTATCGCATTCTCGGGATGAGCTGGACTGGCAGGCATAAGAAAACCAGCATAGATCAGTCTGTCTTCTTCAACATTGTAAAGGAGACCAATTTTAATTTCAGAATTAACAGACATTTCAAAAGCAGGATGGACTCCATCAAAATCACCCATGACATCCCCCACTTGTAGTTCTGCTGTAGTGATTTCACTGCCACCCTGTGCTGAGACAAGGATCACTTCAGATGTGTCGCTGGCATCATCTTCAAGTTCTTTTGGCTTGGTTGCAATATAAAAGCGTAACATTGTCAGTCTTGCGGTCTCGTACATAGTGCCAATGGAATGGCAAGTGTCATCAGTAAGGCAGTTCTGTTTGAAGTCCCACACCTCAAACTCAAAATCTGATTCTGATCCTTTAGGAGATATTCCATCAGGAAAGAAAAGTTTCTTTCCTTCTTGAAGGATGTCTTTTAATCCAGCATCAACTGCCATTTTAATCTTTCTGGTGCCACCTCCCTGTTTTGCCCGAACCTGTTTGGCTATATTACCGTCACTGTGAATCCATCCTATCTCTACATTTCGTGTTGTTTTTAGCTTCTTTGTTTGTGTTGTTGTTGACTCTCCTTGTGAACTGTTTTCATCACTGCTCACCTTTCTGAGTTTCATTTTGTCACGGAGTTTTTGTAAGAGTCCTTCTTTTCGTTTTGAGAAAGGCTTTTTACTTTTGCAGAAACTGAAGAGGGCAATTCGGTCTCCATAGGAGGGGATGTAGTTTGCCAGAGTTGCATCGTCCATCAGCACGATGACATCGGTGTCAATCTGCACAGAAGAAGAAGAAAGAAAAGTCACATTGCATAAATAATGTTAAGGTTAAGCCCCTTAAATCAGTACTAGTGTCAGTAGGAAAATATGAATGAAAAAGCCATGGAGTGTTCACCTGTCTCACCATGAGACTTCACACTCACTCACAGGTCAATGTTGCCTGCAATCAAAATTGATATCATTTATTTTACCGCTTTATAGACCCTTTAAAAGCAGGACATGCCCCAATATTAATCCAACGGAAACTGAAGGGATTGGGGGTAAATGGAGCTAAATGTCTACATCATTTTAAAATACAACTTTAACCTAAACACTGTTCTGTTTATAGTTCAAACAACAAATTGACAGGCTAATAGTGAAATGCCTGTGCACATATTTAGACAGAGATAATGTCTCACGTTATGTCACGCGCTTTTTATTGCTTAATGTAAATGCTAATTGTGTTCGTACGCATTTCCTTTTGCTTAATCCCACTATTTTTCTGCTGCAATATTCTAATTTACCCATGGGGGTGAATATATTTAGACGGAAAGGCTCTTCCAGGAGTGTCCTAGCCTCATAGTCTACACTGCTTGGACAGAGCAGGCTATCGGTGATGTCAACCTGGCGCTGCTTTTCAGGGCAGTAGCCTACAGCCCGGTGTTTGTGGTTCTAGGAAATACTTCGTTCTGGAGTCTGAAATGATACATAAATAGAATGTACGTGCCGCCCAGCAATTAAAATGGTTAATACGCTATTACATTACCAACTTGTTGTTCTAATCTCCTGTGGACCGGTAAAACCGACTATGTC